CGGTGCGGGGGGTGGGGGGAGGCTGCTGGGGCCGCGCCCCTCACCCCTCCCCGGCCTGAGGCATGGCAGCGCCCGCTGTCCGCCGAGTCCTTCGCCACCCCTTGCAGCGGTGCCGCCCCCTTCACAGCCGGCCGGTGCCGGAGCCCTCCTTCAGTCCAGGTCCCGGGAGCAACCGTCCCTCCCCTTTAAAGCAGCTTTGACGTCCTCCAGCTCCCCTGCTCTCAGTCCCGGTCCAGGAAGCGCATGGAGGTGACTGTCCCTCCCCTTTAAGGGGCTCCGGTGCTGCCCTGTCGCCCCTGCTCGGAGCGTCCTTTCCCGTCGGGCCTAGCCCAGCCTCTTCCAATCCCGATCCAGGAAGTGGGGGAGGCGATTGCTCCTCCCCTCCCGGCTGGTTTTAACAGCCTCCGCTGGAGGTGGATCCTTTGCGTGTCTTTGCCTTTAAGGTGTGCGTGCCCCTTTAAGCGTCCAGGCCTGGGCAGCCCGGCTGTCACCTGCAAGCCCTGGTGCGGAAGGGCCAGCACCCTCTCTTTAGGCAGACATACCCGTCAGGAGCCTGTGCCTTTAAAATGGGGGGTGGAGGGGGTTGACCCTTTACTTCTTAAAGGGCCAGTAGCAGCTCTCAGCAGAAGCCTCCCGTGGCGGAACGCAGGCCGTGGGGAGAGCGCCGTCACCGCCCACCACGGCCTCCGGCAGTTCTGGGCCTGACCTCCCCTTTAAGTGCATTGGTTTAAAGTCCTCCGGTGCCAGCTTCCCCTTTAAAGACTCTGAAAAGGGAAAAATGGCATGCTTCCTCCAGCGACATCACAGCATTTGCGGGAGGGTGGCGGGGCGCTGCCCCTTTAACGATCCGGATTAAAATCCCACCCAACCAGCAGGGTCCCAGGGGCTGTGTCCTGCCCCTTTAAGGATTGGTTCCTCCGCCGGTCCTCCTCCTCTCCTTTAAGGCAGGTGGATTAAATCCTCCGACGGTTTTTTAAAATCGTCCTTCCCTTTAACGTGGCGGCGTCCGGTCCCTCCGACGGGAAAAGCCTCCCCTCCGTTTCCTCCGGCCGCGGAGAACTTCCCGGGGCCCTTTAAATCCGCTGACAGGCGCCGGCTGCTTCCTTTCTTGGCCTCCGTCAGAAAAAAAAAGTCCTGTGCCTTTAAGACCGTAGCCGTTGGGGGCCGTTGCCCGGGGAGGGGAGGGGAGGGGTGGGGGGTTGTCTCGGCCCCCCCCCTCCCCAGCGTTCCGCGGTCGCTGATTGGTCGGCGGGCTCGGGATCCCCACCCTGGAGTCCGTTGCCCTGGTCCCGGCGGGGAGGGCGCGCTGATTGGCTGGGCGGGTGGTACGGTCCGGTCCTGCCCACCCCCGCGCTCCGCCGGGAGTTGGTCTCGCCCGCCGCTGCCCGGCGCCCCGGCTCAGCCCTGCCTGCGCGGGTGCGGGGAGCACTGCGCATGCGCGCCGCCGGGCCCTCCTTCCGCTCTGCGCACGGCACGCAGCCCCACCCCCCGGATCCCTCCGCTGTCGCAGCACCACCTCGCGTCTCCCAACGGGTCCTGATCCCTCCGCCGCGGAGGGAAAAGAGGCCCGGCCCCGATCCCGGAGGAAGTGCGTCACCCGCCCCGCCCCCACGCGCCGTGATGTCACCGCGCCACCCGGAAACACGTTATGGCACTGGCGCCTCGCCCGTCCTTCCCCAAGCCTCGCCTCGGGCGACTCTGGGCTGAGGTCCCAACCTCCACGTCACTGCCCAGTGATATCACTGCACCAACACACGTGCCAGCCTGTGCTATAACCCCTGCTGGCTGTGACATCATAGGTGCTATCTGCCCTTCGAGCTCACAGGGCAAGCTTTCAGGCTGTGACATCACCACAACTGCTATCGACACAGCACCCGGGCACCACTGTCAGCTGGGCAGTGATGGCACAGGATGCCCCAGCCCCACTCCTGACATGACTGGCATGGTGCTGCCAGCCCTGCTGAGAGGTCATAAACGATGTCCCGGGGCAGGGGGATGACATCACAGTGCCACCCAGCCCCCGTCCCGGGCCTGCCTCCAGCCGTGACGCCACAGGCCGGGGTGATGATGTCACACCCCTCCCCCCCAACCCGCCTACCCTGCATCCCGCGCCCGGGCAGGACACAAGCTAGCTTTTAACTGAAAACTTTAATAGAAATATATATCTCCAAACACAGACACGCAACAGGGGGCCCCGAGCCGGGCGGCCGGGGCCTTCAGCCCTTGTGGCCCCTGCCCGGGCAGAGCCGCAGGGCCCAGCGCGGCGGGGGGCAGCGCCTGGACAGGGCATCCCGCGGGCCCTCCCGGCGCAAAAGGGCG